AGCACGTCGAACAACTCGAATTGCGTGGCCTACCGCGCGCAGCACTATACCACGAGATGCGGCCCCCACGGCGGGAGCCCCGATTGATGTATCGCCCTACCAAGGCTAAACAGCGCGATTGAATTCAGGCCAGCGGTCCCCAGGTCCGAACGGCCCCGAGAGGGCCCACGCAAAACAAAACTACCTGGAGGGACCGCCCGTGGCCAGTTTGACGTGCTCCTTGAAACTATAGCGTTCGGACTCCACGGGAAGAGGTGGCGGAGGGCGACGGGGGGACAGGAGCGGCGGCGACACAAGACCGTGCCTTGTACAACGCCTCCCTCTCAGAGCGTGCTGCCGCCGCAGGAGGTGCCGCACATGTGTGGAGCGTGCCCTCCCCAGGGGTATCAGCCACATTCTGTCCAGAAATCGATGCTGATGTGTGGAGCATTCCCGCGCCAGGGGTACCAGCCACATTCGAATAACGACCCAGAGCGCCAGCCACATCCGAATAACTACCAGCCCGTACGACGTCAGCCCCACCATTCCACGAATAATGACCCTCTTCATTCGTAAGTGCCCACACATGGGGTAGACGTGAGTTGTGGGCCCTGCTCGACTCTCTCGTCTGTGGCGACGATCTGACGCCATCCAGCACATCACGTGGTGACTTTGAGCCTGGGAGGCCATCCCAAGGACTTCCAGAACTTCGAAACATTGCGACGCCAACCAGGGAGGCCATTTCCTGGATTTGCGTTCTGGTACCAGCTGCCCCATCTAGATCCCGTCCTCCCAGTCGTCGATCGCCATCTGCTGGATCCTCTCGGAGTTGGACCTCGGCGCCACTCCTGCCTTGAGCTCGCCGCCGAACTGCACCAGACAGTCGGTGAGGATCTTCGTGAGCTCCACATCCGCGAGCGCGAAGACCAGCTTCGCGTTCCCTTCCTTGAAGCAGGAGCTGATCCGAAACCCTCGTACCAGGAGGCTCATGTCGGCCATGCTGGTCACCTGGTCGATCTTCACGCGCTGCTGCTCCCATAGCGCCTTGTTGCGAGCCCCGACCCTCTCCCCTGCCTTCGTGATCGCGTCGGAGACGACCAGGAACACCTGCACGTGCGCTGGCCCCAACGCGGCCTCGGGCAGTGGCTTGGCGTCGTCTAGCTTCCACTCCTCGCGCATGGCTGCGAGGAGGAGGGGGTGTGAGGGACGAAGGGGGCGGAGGACAGAGGGAGGAGGAAGGAGGCGGGGGAGAGAGGGGGAGAAGGGGAGACAGGGGGAGGGCACAGAGAGAGGATGGGCAGGGAGGGGCTGTTCCGAAGAGGCACCACCAGATCTCCACGAGAACGATGGTGCCTCGAAGCTGGCCCGCGGGGTGGCGGCGAGAGCTCCTGCCACCCCGTACCCGAGGGGCAATCCCTGAGAGGGGCCAGGAAGCACACAACGAACGGAGAGCCCCGCGCCGCGCCGCGGGGACCCCCAGCAGGCCCCAGCAGCTCCCCCCTTCGCAGGGCGGCCTGCAAGGCTGGCCGCCCCAGGGCTCGCGGCGTGGCCGCACCGGAAGCGCCGTGCTGCCGCGCCACTCTGGGGGGGCCAGGGGGCCCCGCGCGACAGCAGCCGGGCCCACGGGTCCGGCGACGGGTGCCGCCGCGCCGCGGCTCGCTCTGGCGCGGCGGAGGCGCAGTCGCAGGCCCGAGGGAACCCGCGCCTGCCCTCCCGGAGAGAGGAGCGCAGGGGGAGAAGGGAGGTGGAGGGGGAGGAGTGAGGGGGGGGGAGGGAGGGGGCAGGGAAGGGGGCAGGGAGAGGGAGGGAGAGGAAGGCCTGGAAGGTAGAGGGCAGGGATAAAAGGGGGAGAGGGGGGGGAAGGCAGGGAGGGAGGGGGGGGGAGACTGCGGAGGGCGAGATGGTTGCGTTCGGGCCGTGTCTGATACCAATCCCCTCCCTCCCATCCCTCGCCATGGAATTGAGTCCCCTCTATTCGCGGAGTCGAGTGTGGCCGCTGGGGCGGGAGATCCACGGAAATCTCTACGCGAGGCAGACGTTGCACCAGGAACTTCTCTTGTTTACGGATGCTGCAAAACTTCGGCCAGCGCCGCGATGAGGGAGTCGTTCTGTTGTACGGAGTTTATATGGACATCGGTAGATGTGGCCAGCGCTGCAGTCTGAGCAAAAAGTGTTGAGAGGCAACGAGTGGCTTGATTAGGAAACGCATATCGGAAACCACCTTTGCGTAATCCTGTGTGCAGCACGCAGTCTGCGGGATAGGCAGGGGGAAAAGCAGTATCAAGGGAGAAGAGCATATTAAGCTACTGTAGAGAACTTGGGGAGAGAGGCGGGAAGCGGGGGGGAGAACGGGCGGAGAAGGGGGTGGAGGGAGACGAGGAGACGATGTGGGAAGAGGAAGGGAGAAAGGTCAGGTCAAGGCTGATGGAGAAGGGAAATTGGATCGAGCAAGGGCGCGGCGCGAACCGGCAGCACATCACGTGCGCGTGAATCACACCATGCAGACGACGGAGGCGCGATGCGCTCCCACTGGGGCTGATACAAAACTGATCATCCCTGACAGCATGGGCACTCGGCGCGCGTGCTGGCGGAGCATGCGAAATCGAATTAACCCAGGCACGGCAACTTACCAGAGCACGCGACGCGGCACGTCCGAAAACCCCGATGCATGAAGAAATATTGGTCCGCTGTGGAAGAGCAGCGACATCACTCGGATATAGACCCGACGTGGCAATGCAGGAAGGAGCAAGCGTACCGTCAGGCATGACAACCGTCACAATGCCAAACGCTAAACTACCATCAACATGCGAGGAACTGTTTCTAAGGAATCGAAGGTTCGAAGATCAGGAGTCAAAACCGTGATTACGATCACCACGACCACAGAGGCAATACACACTGATTTTCGGCACGCCTGCGTACCAAGCCCCAAACCACGAATAACTTGCATGAGTCACGCATTGTAAGAACTTGCTGAATACTACGTGTTAACAGAGCTGCTCTCGCATGCATTGGGCTGGTCTTAACGAATGTCACACTGAATTCGCAGATCATAGGCTGGCGTGTCAGCGCACTTGTCCTGCTGATATGTAGCAACCGAAGCCATCGATCACGTGCACGATAACCGCCGTCATATTTCCAGTTGCGCCAAGATCGTGGCAAGGGCAGTCGAACAAGCATCTGGGGCATCCTACCTTGCCGCTGCATTTGCCATGCTGCGGGACTTGATAAGGCCCGAGCGAGGCACCACAACCATCCCCATGGCACGAGGAGCTCACAGTCGCCGCTTCGCGACTGGCGGCAGCGGGTGCTGTTCTTTCGGGGCGAGCAGCTGCGGTGCTCGTGTCCTCCTCTACCGCACCATCGTCCCAATAGCGGCTCGCTGGTGCGCGTGCTCGAAAACATGTCGCATCGCAGTCTGTCCGCACAAATGTGTCCCAAACCGCTGCCGTTGCTGCTGCTGTCTTCCTCCTCACTACAGTCCTCCCCCCTCGCCCGCTCGCCCAAACACTACGGTAGAAACATGGACAGCGTTGCTGAGTTTCCGCTTTCACCTGTCACCCGCCGCCAACATGTAAGGAGCGGGCAGAAGCGATAATGGCCAAGGGGTGCATGCAAAGAGAGGAAGGGAGAAGACCCAGACCTCCGATGCCGTGATCTTTCACGACGAGGGCCCCTAGAGCTCCGACCCCATCCCCGTGACCGACTTTCATCCTGCTGAGGGCCCCGGGGCCCAAAGCGAACCTTCAGAGGCCCAGACTCAAGAAAAAACGCGCCGTCGCATTTCTTTTTCGCGACGCCCCCCAGAGGCGAGGGGAGGATTGGGAGGGAGGGGGGGAGGATGATGAGGAGGAGGGATGATGAGGAGGAGGGATGATGAGGAGGAGAAGGGTGGAGCGGAAACGAGAGGAAAAGGCCTCGCTCCGGGCGTCCTCCAGGCGAAGGCAGACCTGCTGAAGCTCGAAGGCCTGGCTGCCGACCTGGGATGTTTCGCGCCCGCGCCCGCTGAGCCCTGCGCCGCAGCACCGCGGGCCAACGCCCATTCACAGACAGACCCGCCACCAGGCCACACCACCGCTGATGTGCGCGTGGCCGACTCTGGAAGCCATGAGTCCCAAACTCCTGACGCTTCGCTCGTAACACCTTCCGCGGACCTTCCGCCGGTGGGCCCGCCGCCGCCGTACTTCTGCCGGCCCCCACCGGCCTTCCGCCGGCTTCCGCCGAGGGCGAGACGCGCCCAGGGCAAGTCACTGCCTGGAAGGCTCTGCGTGTGAGCGCGTGTGCGTGTGTGTGTGTGTGTGCGTGTGTGTGTGTGTGTGTGTGCATGTGTGTGTGTCGGCCACTGACGCGTACTGTTGCATCTCAAGCTTGCATATCCCGCAGCTCGCCGACCAATCCGTGGCACATCGCCGTGGAGGATGAGGAGGGCCGGCAACCGATCGGCGCATGTCCTCCTCCTCCTCCTCGTCCTCCTATCTCCTCCTCCGCTGTTTCCGCTGTTTGCCGCGCCATGAAGGTCTGTGCCTTGCAGCGCCCCTCGGCGGCCGAAGCCGCCGCCAGAGGAGGAAGGAGGAGGGCCCGTCCCGCCCAGGCGCGCGGGGCGGCGGAGGAGCGGGGGCCAGGCCTAGCCGCGCGCGCGGCCGACTCGCGGGCGCCCTCGGCGCCGGGGGGGGGACCTCGCCCAAGAGGAAAGGAAAGGGCCTCCAGGATCTCAAGAGGGCCTAAAGGGAAGAGCGGGAGGGCGAGGCCCCAGAGACGCAAAAGGCCAGGCACCAGTGGACCCCGCGAGGAGGGAGGGAGAAAGCCTACGCGGGCCCCAAGAAGAGGGAGCGGGGTCCAATGGTCTGCTACTCGCCCCCAGGCCCGGTGCGCTGCCACCCAGGATATCAGCCTGGCAGCTGCAACACCTGTCCTGGGCGGCAGTGCCCAGGCCTTGGAGCACGGTGGGCCAGGGCTCGCCTGGCGTGCCACCCCCTTTACCCCCACAGCACAGGGCCCGAACCAGGAGACCAAAAGTGGAAGATGAGGCGGCTGGGGGTAAGGGGGGTGGCACCAAATTACGCCCCTCGGGACCCCGACGACTCAGCCCCCTCACTGGGCCACGTCGGTGGTCGCTGGTGTTGTAGTAGAGCATGATTCTGTCGCCCTCGAGCTTGTGGTACTTGATTCAGTCCTGCTGGTCGAAATCGGTATGATGAGCCTTCTCCATTTGCTCCATTCACTCCATTCAACTCGGCATCGCTGATCCGGTGGTCGTCTGTCTCGATGATGGTAGGCTCTTTGTACTTGGCTCGGTCGCCCTGGTCGAGTAGAACTGTTTGACTGTGTTGGGCTCAGGCTCTGGTACTCGTCTCAGCCGATGAGGTAATTGTCGTGCTGGTTAGGGTCGATGGGGGCCGGCTTGTTGCTGGTAGGTGGAATAGATTGTGGGCGCACTCAGGCCTCCATGCACCGACTTCAAGTAGGGTTCATGGCGGCCCTACCTCGTCCCGCTATGGCTAGGGGTCACGGTGCCCTCGGTGGGGGCGAACCCCAGGCCCAGTGATTCTTGCTGTCGATGAGGAAGGTCAACGCTGCCCTATGCTTCGCCCTTGGGCGCTCGGGAGCTCCGTCTCCGCCATGGGAATGGTGGGGGTGGCGAGCTAGGGCGGACCGCGGGGGCGCGGGCAGTACTCGTCCTGCCCCCCCCCTGCCCCTCACCATCCCCCCTGGTAGGCGCGGGCAGTCCTCGTCCTGCCCCCCCGCCCTTCGAGCCCGTCTCGAAGTTTGATCCTTGCCTCACCAGGGCAGCGTTGACTCGTACTTGGTGCAGTTGGGGTAATCTGGCTGGTACCTCTGAGCCCTGACTGAACGGCGGCCGTGTCCGTCAAAGTGCAAAACGTGGCGACGTGTGCCTGGGGTGTTCCCTCGCATTCGGGGCTTCCCCAGGACTTGCGTCCTGATGACTTGTGCAAAACTTGGCGACGTAGCCTGAGGTGTTCCCACGCACTCGGGGCTTCCTCAGGACTTGCGTTCTGATTCTTTTGTACTTGTCGTCAGGGCGCTTCGTCGCGATCCGCGTTGTCAGCCTGTGCCCGAACAGCTCCTGTCGAGGTGGTGGTCCTGCCGATTGCCTTGTCGGGTCGGTCCTGCAGGGCCCACTCCCTTGCCTCTTCCAACCAGGTCGGTGAGCCACTCCGCCTCGCTGGGCCCCGATGGTAGTCCTGACCCATCTCCCTGGTCTTGTAGCGGTCGAGCGGCTGGAAGAAGTGGGCCACGTCGTCGTCGATGTGCCACCCCTGGACGTCGCTAGGCGACTCGCCAAAGCGCCACCTTATCTGCTTCGCCAGTGCGGTCGCGATGGCCTGGCACATCCTGTTCGGGTACTCCTTGGCCGCCGCGGTGCGCCACTGGCCGTCGTCGTTGATGCCTGCCAGCTCCGCGTGGTAGGAGGCCGTGTGAAAGCACCTCCCGCTTCCAGGCAGTCTGCTGATTTCTGCTCGGAGGGTTGGTAGGGATACCGCCATCAGGCTTGTGGACTTCCTCGAACGCGCTCCACAGGTGCACTGGTCGAATGTGATCAGCTCGACTCCCTGCTGGTTCAGGAGGTGGCGCGTCTCGGGAAGCTTCCAGGAGCTGGCGAAGTGCTCCTCGGTGGGCTCGGACGGGTGCTCGAGCATGCCTGGGACTCCCAGGTTGAGGCACATGTACATGAGCTCCAGCTGTGTCCTGTATAGGCGGTTGCCTGTCGCTACTTGCTCCATCTCTGGACGGGAAAGGTAGCGAAGGCCCCACAGGCGGTTGCTGCTCCTTAGGGGTCTTGGTGGGCGACCCCTGCAGTCATTGGGGGGCAAGTGGCGCGCCCGGCTCCAGGTCTCGCACGGCGGTCCGCCGATGACTCCTGCAATTCTCCCTGCTTGTGCCATGTCTCGCCACTTGCTGACTGCGACTTCTGATGTCAGGTCGCCGAAGGTAGGGTCGTTGGCGATGTCCAGGCTGAGCATGTGCATGTCGCAAGAAGCCCGACTGCTGAGGCGGTCGAACCAATCCTGAACATCTCCCTCTCGGCGACGGCCGCTGAATAGATGCAGCACGTATAGCGTCCGAGCTGGTCTGGGCCTGGGTACAGCAGCTGGCGGCGGTGGTGGCTCCTCGATGAAGGGGAGCTCTAGGCTCTCGTAGTGGCCGCCGTTGCTGTCGTCGCTGTCCTCGTCCGTATGTATTTCTGGAGGACGAGCAGGGACTGCAGGCTTCTCTGCCCAGTCGATGGGCCTGCCCGCCCTTCGGTTCGCCTGCTGCTGGTCGCGCACAATTTGCTGGTTGTGCTGCAGCTCGGCTCTGCTTAGGATTGCTGGACGCGTCTTTCGCCAATGTCGAGCGCACCTGCGCACTCTCAGCAAGTGTTTGACCAGCCTGTTTGTAGTATGGTAATCCATGCCGCATCCGTAGCAGACCGAACCAGTTGCCCACGAGATAGGATGACCCGACGAGGTGTGGTCCTTGGTGATGTGTGCTCGTAGCACTGCTGCACTGGCTTCGGTACGTCCGCAGTGGTAGCATAGGTACTTGCGCTGCTGCTCGAAGTGCTGGTCTGGGAAGGGCGAGATGGCTTCCGTGTTGGTCCACCGTTGGAGTCGAAGCCGCCATCGAGCTTGGTAGTCGTGATCGTACTGGCGAGCTTTGCCACGTTGGCAAGCTTTCTTTACTGCGCTGAGGTAGCTTTGGTAGTCGTTCCTGGCCCAGTCCTTCCAGTCCTCGAGCGTGTATGCTCCACCACGCTCGTCAGGTCCTGTGTGGTCGCGGACCCAGTCTAGGTCGCGGCGGAGCAGTGCCACCCAGCCGTAACTACCATCCCATGCTTGGCTAAGTAGCCGGCGGAGGTGCAGGGGTCCCCAGTTGAGGCATCTGCCAAATAGTCGTAGCCGCTCAAGTCGCAGGACTATCTCTGGGGGCAGCTTGTCGACCCCTTCGAGAATCTGGGTGTTCGTGACCTCCTTTTTCTGTCGTACTTTCCAAGTGATCCTTTGCGCGGCAGCGTAGTTGACGATATACTGGTTGTTGAAATTCCTGGCCTGGCCTGCGGTGAGTTCGGGCCAGGTAGACGCATTGTATAGTAGCTGGGATAGCACCACACTGTCGGCTAAGTAGGCCTTGTCTTTGATGGCCAGCTCTGATCGCCGGTGGACTTCGCGATGGAGAGGCCTCGTGGATGTCGCTGCAGTGGCTACCTTCACTGCGACATCCACCCCAGGGGATGCATTGTCGGTCACGTAGGTCCCGAGGAGCTTGTGGTGACGAACCACCTCGACGTAACTCTCTGCAAGGGGGACCTCGATCCTCGGCACTCCCTCGGAGTAGAAACTGGCCCGCGCTTGCCGGCTCCCAGGCCCACTGAAGTCGATCATCACCTTGGTCTTGGTGAGCTGCAGCTGGAGGCCGAAGGTGCTGGCGGCGCAGTAGACGGCTTCGCAGAACCCGGTGGCCTCATGCTGAATGTGGTCGGGGCTGGTGAACACGTGCATGCCCGTTAGGTCGTCGACGAACGATAGTCCATGAGGTTCATGCTCCTGGAGTGGCCCATCTGTGGGGTCGGTGTCGCATGCGAAACTGCTGTCCAGAGGCTTGCCCTGAGGTCGTAGCCCTCGCTGCGCAAGGTAGCTGTCGATCATGCGGTGGACTCGGCCGAATAGCAGATTGAAGTCCGCGTCGGCCAGGGGCACGCCAGGCCTCGTGCCCTTGTGCGGCGCCATGAGGTTCTGGGAGAACCTGTGTGATGTCCACCCGTTGCGGTAACCTTCTGCAATGAGGGCAGCCAAGTGGGAGCCGTCCAACACTGTGTCGAGTATCCCTGGGTTGGCCATGAGGTGCTCCAGTTGCGGCTGGGCCCACAGGGGAACCTCGAGGTTCTCTAGCACCTCCTTGACTTCGTCCTCCTCGCCTGGGATGCCATGAACCAGCTGGACTACAACCGAGTAGAAGGCCTCCTTTAAGTCGTAGCAGCTTATCATGGAGCACTTCCCTTGGGCCTGACTTCTCTCTGTGAAGAGGCGCGCTGCTAGGACCGCCATGTCCGCCCCTCGCTTGGGCCGGCCGCCAACCTGGATGCCCTCCAGCGCTATGGCGAGGGTAGTGTTGAGCATGGTCCGTAGGTATTTGTGGTGGTGCTTGCCCAGGACGTTGTTTAAGAGGATCTCGCGGTAGGCTTGGAGGTACCTTGGGTCGCCTTTTCCTTTGGGAATTGCGACCAGGTCTCCACCCTTGAAGCTCAGCGGCTCCCGTACGGTGGTCGCCACCTTGGTGAAGAGGGGGTGCAGTAGCCTCGCTGCCTCTGTGGGGGCCGCCCTGAGGACAGCGTTCGTGAGCCCGTCGGGGCCTCCTTGCGTCCCAGCCTTGGCCGCGGCGAACTGGGCCTGGCAGACGGCCAGGGGCATCACCATGGAGAGATCCAGCATGCCGTCGAAGGGCCTGGTCTTGCTGTCGTGATTGTACTTGTTGGCAAGATCATCCGCTGTCACGATCTTGCCCGCCTGTATCTTCGCGAAATGGTTAAGCTCCTGGTCCGCCATGTCCTGGGAGTTGTGGATCACCTCTCCATCCTTGTCGAGCCGCATAGGCTTTCCTGCTGGGAACTTCGCCTTCCTCCCTCCATACCTTAGTGGGTCGCGGTAAGCCTTCCACTGGGCCGCAGCGTCGTTCGCAGCGGAGGCGGAGGACGCAGTCGAGGCAAGCCGACTGAGGAATGCGCTGCGGTCCTTCTCGACGGCCGCGGCAACGGTGGGCCCAGACCTGGTGAGGAAGGAAAGGATGGCCATGGCGTAGACCATGGGCGAGATTGTCCAGTTCAGGAGGAGGTGCGCGTAGTGGTGGATGTCGTGGATGGTGCCATCGTCATCGCCACGCTCTCTGCTCCACAGGGAGAGTGAGTCCCCTACTTCGCCTGCACGAAGAGAATGGGCGTGGGCTACTAGTCGTCCAGGTCGGTCGTCATGGGCTTCTCCTCTGAGCACTGCGCGATGGACTCGGAGTGCGAGGCGCCTGGCTCGGATCAGGCCCATGGTAGTCTTGGTGACGTAGGGCTTCCTCGTTGCCTTGGCGGCCTTGCCGAAGGCCTGGATGGCCGCGTCGTTGACGACCCTGGTGACCTCCTCGCAGTGGGTGTTGACGTCCACCTGCCAGGGGATGATCGGGGCCTGCTTGAGAATCTCCTTGAAGCTGGCCTTGGCGACGTCATTGTTCAAGTTGGTCAGGTCGGGCCTCGGTCCTGAGGCCTTGGTGGTCTTGCAGACGGCCCACTTGAGGGTGGCTAGTACTGGTATGTGGTCTTGTGCAGCTGTGCCTCGGTCCAGACCTGGCTCCGTGCTGCAGCTCGCGACGTACGGGGCGATCGAGGAGCTCAGCAGGATGTAGTCTATCCTGTGGTGCTGCCCCTTCGATCCGACATGCGTATGTGAGTTGTTGCCTGGATCCCTCGTGGTGTTGATGACCTCCATGTTGGTGTCGGCAGCGGAGCTGATGATGTGCTTGCCATTGCCGTTGGTCGCTTCTGGGTACCCACTGGTGCCAACTCCTGGGGACTCGTAGTCGCCAAGACGCCCGTTCAGGTCCCCCATGAAGATGTCCACTCGGTACTTGGCAGACAATCGCTGAGCAGACTCCCAGAATTCTCTCTTCTCCGCCGCGTGGGAGTCTTCGTGGGGTGCGTATGCTGATGCGATAACCATGTCTGTGCCTGCAACGCGGGTCTTGATGATCAAGAGCCTGTCGTGCTGGTGGAGGACGAGGGTGTCTTTGGCACCTAGGTACTTCGCTGCCCCACTCGCGCTGATTGGTTGGGAGACGTTGAGCCAGATGTCGCATCCTCTGTTCTGCTGCGTGTGGCCTGACGAGTAGCAAACATATTCACCTACATTGCGGACGTCTCCTTCGCTCTGCGTCTCCTGCAGGGCGACGACGTGCAGGCCCATGTCAGCAAACTGTGCTGCTAGGTGCGTGACCTTGGAGAGGCTCTGCTTGCTTTTGCCGGCCGCCTTGCCTTTGAACGGCGGCCTTGAGTGATCTGCAGTTGTAGGTGCACAAATTCACGTTGAGGTCGGCCTTGATGGTGGTGGTGCTGATGGGCCTCTGGATCGCTCCTGGGGCTGCCTGCGGCTGGGTGGCCTCGATGATGAAGTCTTTGTTCCGCAAGGGCGGGTATGCGGCCTTGACCGCATCTGGCTCTGATCGCAGCCATTCCCAGGAAAGGAACTTGTTGTGAGCGATCGCCTGCACTGCTGCAATGTTCGGGTCCATCAGGTCGCTGGCCGAAGCTTGATCTGCTATCCCATCTGCGAGCTCGTTCCAAGGGTGCCCGATGTGCGAGTTAATATGGTGCCACTGGGTAGGTCGGGCTTGTTGGAGGAGGCCTGCAAGCGTGCGAATGGCGGCCCCCAACCTCGGATGTACGTGGCATTGGGCTTCGCCTTTGGCCAGGTTGATAACGTTGAGGGCATCGGGCGTGATCTCGATGGGCGCGTCGGTGTCTTGACCAAGGGCCCACATTAGTGCCCAAAGTACTGCCGTGAGCTCAGCTGTGTATGCCGTCACCTTCTCGTTGTTTACCATGTCGTCAAGGGTCTCGGTGACCTTGCCAGCAATGAAACCCCGAAAACCGAACGGGCCTCGTGAGTTGCGCCCGTCGTCGTACTCGTCGACAATGACAACTGCCCAGGCGGCTGTATGTGGGATGCCGTTGTAGCTGCCGTCCGTGTAGATGTGTGTCCGCCTGGTCGGCAGCTCGCGTGATGGGCACATCTCCAGCGCCATCCTTGCCATGTTGTGCAGGGTCGTAGTGTCGACGTCGTCGCAGACGTTGACGCGGCCTCGGCCGCGAAGGGTCTCGGCTACTGGGTCTTGGCTGAGAACTGGCAGCACTGCCGCTTGGCCTCTTTCTCGTGCTGTCGTGGTGGGGAGCTGCCGTCGCCTTCGGCCACGCCTGGCCCTCTCTGCATTGACGTACTCGGGGGAGTACTCGATGTCGTCGCCTGGCGCCAGTCCCATGCCCTGTAGAATGGGACCTTGTGTAGTGGTGATGTGGGCTGGAGGTGGCTGTGGTGTCGGAGAACGTGTGGGTGGGGCTAGTGATATGGCCCCAGCCTGAGGCGCACTCCGCTTCACGGGTGGTAGTGATGGCATTTGGCTCCCCTCATCGTAGTTCAAGTTGTCCGATCCAGCCCGCGCGGCCTGACTGAACAGGGGCTCGCGTGATTGGGCGTGGAGCATGCTGTCACGTAGACGATGAGGTTCGCCATCCAGGGCGTCTGGGTGGTTGGTAGCACCCGTGCCGTGGTGGGAGCGCGCTGATGCCGAGGGGAGCGTTGGCTTCCACCTGCTTGACCGTGGTGAGCTGCTTGGGTCCGTCGGGACTGGGGCCACTGGTGATGCTGGTTGAGCTGCTGAGTCCGTCGGGTCTGGATCCACCGCCAGGGCATGGTACTTGTTGTGGATGCTGCTGTTGTCCCGACGACTGTGGCTCTCCGCAGCGCGCCGTGCGCGGCGTGCACTCCGCTGGGCTGATCGGAAGGCTGCGACTGCGCGCGCTTGCCTCCACTCCTCGTAACATTGCTCCATGCCATCCTCTGCCTCGCTGCCAGCCGAGTTTTGACCGTCGAGAAAGGTCCTTTCCACGTTCTCGATCTCGTGGACTCGGATGGCGGAGGGGGACACACTGAGTGCAAGGGCAGCCGGTAACGCATCCTTGCAGCCATCTTGGTGGCTTGTGACCTGAAGTGCTGACAGATTGGCGGATGCATCACTCATCCCTGGTAGTGTGCCTCCTTGGTTGCCGCCTAGCGCCCCTCGAGACGCGGCGGGCGGCCCTCGTGTCGGCCGTGGTGGTGTCACGTTGGCCCCTCGAGACCCCGGTGACTGATGCCGCTGTTGATGCTGGCTGCTGCGATTGGGAGTGGCCCTCCCACTGCCAATGCCAGTTGCGGTAGCACATCTGCTTGGAGTCGTGGCACCTCGGGACCCTGGACTCCTGGGAGTACCTGATCTGGTGCGTGAGACTGTCGGAATCTCCGCTGGTCTATTTGTTACTAGACGGCTGTCGCGATTAACCCCAGGGCCCGCCGTGCTTTCAAGCCTCTGGTGGTGGGTAGGTCGAGCATCGTAGTGGAGGACCCCACTGCCGTGCTGCGGGCTTTGGGCCCCAGCTGCTCTCCCCGATGCTGCCCAGGAGATCGATGCTGTCGAACTGATCGGAGAGCGTGAAGAAATCCCACATCCGTCGTGCTCTGCCCTGTTGGACTCATCGGCCGCCTCCTGGCAGTGAATTCTGTCATGCATGGCCTGAAGCCTGGCGGCGCTGCTAGGCCCCCCCCCCCCCTCGGGGGGATTCAGCGGGCGCTGCTGCTGCCTGCTCCTCGGCTCCAGGAGTTGCAGGAGGGGAGGGGGTTGCTGTGCCCCTTGTCTCGTCCCTCCTGCGGGCCACTCGGCCACGAAAACGTGCTATGCCTGACTCTCCAGAGTCTACCCGCTGACCCTTGTGGGCCTGGCTGATGTCTTCTCCTGGAAATGCGGGCGCGGGTCCAAACGCCTCTTCGAGGGCTGCAGCTGCGGCGGCGGCTGAGGTGTGCTGGCGCGTCATGATGTCGATGCCCTCGTACTGCCTCTCGATGCTGGCCGCTGCCGCCTCCGCGTTCTGCTGGGACGCAGGGAGAGGGGTCAATACGAAGCTGTCGGCTCCCTCTCCACCTCCATGGCCACGCTGCTCATGATGCCCGAATGGAACTGTGGGCGTGAGTGACCTCTCGCTGAGTGGCGCTGGCGATGCTGGGATGAAGATTACCTGAGATGCTGTCGGGGTAGGAGGGTCGCCTTGCTCTGCTGGTACCGAGCTAGCCCTTGACGTGGATGCCAGGTCTGTGTCTGCCTCGTGAACCCCCTCATCTCCTCACCCTCCTCGGGTGCGGGGTGATCCTGGCTCCAGGGCGGCCAGCTGGCGGGGTAGATCATCGGCGCATGCTCCGAGCCGTCGTCCTCCGCTCGGGAGTCCTGCGCGCCCGCTGTGCCGAACTGGGTCAAGGGGGCCTCCTCGTAGTAGCGCCTTTGGATCTCCTTCGCCTCGTGGTCCCTCACTACCGACTCCAGCTCCTCCTCCATCTGTACGGCTTCCCATTGTGCTTTCTCCTCAGCATCTTGTCTGCGCAACTCATCTTGTTCGCGCTCGTATCTTTCTGCCTCCTCGTGCGGGTCTGGCCTGTCGGGGCTCCTGGACCTGTCACGCTCTATGAGGGGGGCATCGCCTTCGTCGGTCTGGCGGGCTGCTGACCTGGCTGACCTGGTTGATGCTGGCCTCCGAGGCGAGGAGCTGCTCTGCCTGCGGCCCCTGTTGGCTGGGCGCTCCTCGGCTGCACCAGTTTGGAGATTGGTCGCAACGGGGGACTCCGCTGTGGCGGTCGCTGCCTCGGCTGCTCCTCTGGCTTTCTCGTACAGGTCAGCGGCCTCCTGGTAGTCGTCCATGGACTCTTGGGACGTTGGGAGGTGGCCCCCTTGGACGAGGTGATGAGCTGCCCTCTTGGTGAAGTCGTAGCCCTCCTGCCCGTATTGCCTCATCTCGGCGTACAGGTTGACCATGGCCTTGCGTTCACGTTCCCTGCTGGCTGCAATGGCTTCCAGGCTCTGCATTCTCAGCTTTAGCTCCTCTGTCTCCGACGCGCCCTGCTGCCCCTTCTTTGCGATGGCGTCTAGCTCGGTGTGTAGCGTGCTGGAGCGCTGGAGGCTTTCTTGCAGCGCGAGGTGAATGGCCTCCTCCCTGCCCGTCCTCTGCTGGCTGGCGAAGTCTTCCATGGCGGAGGCCTCCTCCATGCTGGCGATCCTGAAGGTGAGGGCTTGGGCGAGCTCCTCCTCCAGCGCCTGCTCCTGCACCTCTGCGTTGGACCTTTGCTCGCTCAGCTGCACCGCGTAGCTGCTCAGTTCCTGTCGCAGGCTCTCTGTGTGCAGCTGCAAGTCATGTGCGTTCGCCTCTTCTATCATGACTTGGCGGGTGAGACTCGACCTTATTCGCTCAGCACTGCCTTCGAGCTCTGCCCGCATTGCCTCCTTGTCCTTCAGGCTGGCCTTCGCAATCTCCTCCTCCTCTGCTCTAGTCCTTAGCAGGGCGAACTGCAATGCCTGCACCTCGTGCGGGATTTGCCGCTCCTCGTTGGCGCTTCTCAGCTCCGCTGCTTCATGGTATGCCACTTGTACTGCACGCTGCGCAGCGCCCGCCTCAAGCTTGGAGTACTGCTGGAGCTCGTGTATGCGGGCTTCAGCTGCCTCGAGCTCGCTTTTGGTCTGCTTGAGCCGCTCCTGCTGCCGTGCTGCTGTCTGGGCGATCCCTTGCAGCCTGGCCGCTTCTGCCGGCGGGAGGGCCCCTTTTCCCTTGGCATTGGCAACCACTTGGGCCTGGGCGATTGCCTGGACCCTGGCTGATTCGGCGGCAGCTTCAAGCTCGAGGGCGTGGTTCTTTTTGGCCTCCTGGAACTTCTCTTCCATGACCAGCTCCTGCCTGGTGAGCTGCTGCTTGAGAGTGCCCGCTGTAGCTGTCGCTTGGGCGCTCTCGTGCTGGGCCCGTCGCAATGCCTCTTGCGCCTCGGCTCTTGCCCGCAGCAGGTCTTGGTAGACCCTGTCCTGGGGTTGCGGCTGCTCTCGGTGCTCCGCTCGAACTTGCTCAAGCTGCTCATGCAGATGATTTGCCCGCTGGGTCGCAGCTTCGGCCTCTGCCTTGGCTTGACTGAAGGCTGTGTCATGGCTGATTATCCTGGCCTCCATCTGCGTCGCGAACTCGAGCTGCTCGACTTGTTGCTTCTTGATCTCATGGCGGAGGGCCTTGTGTTGCTGCTGCTGCTGCTGCTGGGCTGCACTCTCCGCTGCGGTGATGCGCTGCAGCTGCTCTGACTCCTCCTTGAGTGCCAGCCTGAGTTTCGCCTGCTCGCCGTTGTGGCGGAGTGCTTGTTCTCGGGCGACCCTCCTGACTTCCGCCAGCTCGGCAGCAAACTCTTGCTCGGCTTCGGCATGGCGCTGCTGCTGGCGGGCCCGCTCCGCATTCGCCTTGGCCACCTGATCGGCGAACCCTCTGGTTGCGCTGCCTGCCGAGCTGGCTCTTGAGCGTGGCGATCGCCCCACCACTCCCGCTGGCCAAGCTGGGAATCCGTCACCAGGTGCTTCGCTGTGCAGGCGCCTGTCGATCACGGCCTTGTGGAAGGCATCCCAGCTCGGTGCCAAGCCGAACCCGTCCGTGTCCCAGTCGCCCTCGTCGTCCGCCGCACCGCCGTCGGCGAGCACGGCCCGCACGTCGGCGATGTTGGACTCGAGCTGCCTCAACTCCTGCTGCTTGGCCTTGAGGTCGTCCCGCAGCTCGTTCGTCTTGGCCTCGAGGGCGATGACTTCAAGTTTGACGGCCTTGCGCCTCTTGCTGAGCACCTGCAGCTGGTCGTTCGGCCTCCTCGTGACCAGCTTCTGGTATTTGATGACCGAGATTTCCATCAGCTGCTCCTTCGTGCTGTCGCCCGCGGCCTGCTTGGCGACGACCAGGTCGCCGAGTTTCCTCAGCCTCTGGTCCGCACTGCTCAGGAACTTCTGGATACCTGCGCGGTCAGCTGGGGGCGCCTGCCACTTTGGGTGGGAGGTTGCCTCGTCCAGCGTGCAGGCTGCCACGGAGTCGATGACTTTTTGAGCCCTCTGGTCCGCTTTGCTGGAACTGGCCTGGCCGCCTTTGCCCGCCCTGGGCTGCTGCTGCAGCTGCTGCTGCTGCTGCTGCTGCTGCTGCTGCCATGGGGGCTGGCTGGGCTGCTGCTGCTGCTGCTGCTGCGGTTGCCATTGGCGAGGGCTGGCCTGGCCAGAGCGCCGCGGCCGTGAAAGCGTTCTGCGCCAGGGCGGGTCCTCGCCTGCTGGCTCCGCGTTCCACTGCTGTTCTTGCCATCCAGCGCCCTGCCACCTCTCCTGGCGCCAAGGGGGCGCTGCTGGCGGCGATGCTCATTCCTGGGCGTGGCCCTTGCCGCCTCGGCCACCGCTGCCTCTGCCCTTCCCATCTCGTGCCATCGCTGGCTGGGCAGAGTGATGAGCGGCCAGGCGCTCAGCCGCCGCCCGCAGGCGGAGCAGGAGCCTGTCCTGGGCTCTCTGCTGCCGCTCACGGCGGTGTGCGGCGCCCTCTGGGCCTCCTCCTCGGCGATGTGGCGGCGTCCCGCCGGTGGGCCGCAGCGCGGCCGCGAGCGCCGCGGCCTGCGGCAGGGGGCAGGGAGGCACGGGTGGCCCCCTGCCGCAGAGGATGGCGCGCGGCGCGCGTGAGCCCGGCCTCGGGGGCTGGCCGATGCGCGATGCGCCCTGCCACCGCGATCGATCGGGCGGCAGGCGCCGACCGACCCCGATGGATCGATCGGGATCGGCTGGCCCGCAAGATGCCAAATGGCTTTCTCCTCCTCCTCCTCGTCCTCCTATCTCCTCCTCCTCCTCCTCCTCCTCCTCCTCCTCCTCCTCCTCCTCCTCCTCCTCCTCCTCCCCATCCTCCCCCTCCTCCCCCTCCTTCACTGCCACGGGGCGCCCTGCAGATGCTTTGTGACAAACGTGCGTGCGTGCGTAAGTGCGTGTAAGTGCGTGTGCGTGTGTGTGCGCGCACGTTCGTGTGCATGTGCGGGCCGAGACTCCGGGGCACGACGCCGGGAGAGCGCGCGCCCGCCGAGCAGAACGCGTGCGAGTGCGCCAAGGAAGTGAGCAAACGTGACTGTGTCTCTGTGTCTGTGTGCCGGTGCTCTTCGGCGCCGTACGCGCTGGACCCCCACCCCTCCTGGGGGGACAAAATCGGCGGTGGCCAAACCTCCCTTTAGTAAACCTCCCCTATAGTGAAAACGGCCCGGGGCCGAAACCGACGGGCCTGGACCAGCAAAAGTGACGGCCGCGACGCCCTCTCGCGAAGCGAGAACGGCCAAGTCCTTACTCGACGTGTCAGGGTAGGAGGTCTATCAACCTCCGACCAACAAGGACCGAGACCGCGAATCCCCGGACCTCTCCAGGGGTGCGCGCCGACCGAAAAATCTCGAGGAGAGCCCGGCCGTGGCGACCGGGGCCCTCCACAGAGCACGCAGCGGCATCGGCAGAACCTCGCACCCCTCGCGCGAGCCTCTCTGCACGCGCCTGCCGCCCTGCCCCGGCCCCCGCGCAGCGGCTCGGCCACGGGGGGCAGGGCAGCGCGCGGGAGCGAGCCGCCAGGGAGGCGAGCGGCCACACGCAGCAGCAGGAGCTCGCAGCAGCGGGAGGGGGGGGGGGCGGGCTCGGGCGAGAGGCTGCGCCGCGTGCGGCGACCGAGAGACGCGGGAGGAGGCGGAGAAGGCAGAGAGGGCGGAAGACGAAAGGCCCACTGAGCGTCCGAGGTCAAGTTCGCAGCATGCACCATTCGGGAACATGGGGGCGAAGGGCACTACTGTTAGGTCGGGCCTGTCCCCCTACACGGGGATATCGGGCGCAAAATAAAAAATGATCAGACAATACTCCGAGATGCTCAAAAATAGTTAAAAACAATCGTCCCCAGACTATTTTTCGACTATTCTTGAATACTCCTCCTGTAGAGGGACAGGCCCGACTTAACACTACTGGTACACCCATGGGCAGTGTCGCGGCTTCTGCCCTCCAGCGTGCCGCAGTTCCCGCCCACGAGCGTGTGTATGTGCGAGTGTGTGTGTGCTTTCCCGCTGCGCTCCGCGATCCCGCCGTCCCGCGCAGCCCGCGCGGGGCGCGCACGC